ATACAATTTAAAGATAAATGGGTATATTATAAGCCATGTACAAGAATTGAATTTTTGTAGCTTTGAGATAATTCACCTATACATTTTTTGTAGCTTTGAGATAATTCACCTATACATTTTTTATAGGTGAAAGGTCCTTCTGTTTCTTGAAATTGTATCAGTACAAGTCCTCATACCTTTACCTTGTACCTTTTCTTTGAAAAAGGCGGCTAAAACTTCCAAAATAACAACAATTTGACGGGACCTTCATATGGAGATATGTCAAGACATGAACCTGTAATGATCATCTTCCGTATGACAGCCTTTAAAACGCCGAAATGATAAATTAGCGCCTTTTGGTGCATGTGGTCTTTGCATTTAAGATATCCCTCTAGGATGACTCCCAGATATTTAACTTTATTTGATATGGCTATCTTTTTGTTTTGGAAGATGGGCTATTTTTTATTGTCCTATTCAAATTTTTCTGTCAAAAAAAAAAAAAAAAAAAAAAACATTGAATCAAAAAGTTAAATATTTATTGCTACATTTAGATTTTTTATGACTTATGTTATGGTGATAAATACGTTGAATTTAAATTTAATTGTAGTTGCCAATAAAATACTTTGCTTTTATGCCTACAATTATGAGCATCGATAAATATTTTTAAATACTAGTGGAGGATGTTTTTAGTATATTCGAAGAAAATGTAAAAATTAAGTGATCGTAATATTCTCTATAATTTCGAGATGCAATTTAATTAGCACCATGGCTTTGCTAATTCCATTTCGAGAACTGCAAAAAAGTAATAATAATCCCTGTAAACCACAAAACAATCCCATAACAGATAGGTGGTGGGGAAATGAAAGTGGTGACAGCGGCATCGAAGGCGTGAATTTGCGATGCACAAATAAAACATTCGGTGAAGTATTGCGTTTAATAGCATGCAGTGTTCTGCTGAAAATGAAAACAAAAACTACAAAAAGAACATCTTAATTTTCGTCATAAAAATATTTGTCGTAGTTCTGCAATGCAGCCAAGACTGAGGATGTTCGCATCTGGGTATCATATAAATACACACCTTCTTCCACAAAACGATTCAGTTTAGATTTTGTTCTCATCTATAGTACGTCGGAGCTTGGCCTTGGAAAAATAATAAATTTGTAAGCTCAGTTTGAAATGAGGCTCATAATATTCGTAGCGTTAATCGTTTGTACTGCGGCAGTATTTGGATTACCCGCTGATACGGATGCAGTTGCCAAGGATGTAAATGTGGATGATTTAGTGGAACCTATCAATTTGTCAGATGCCTCGGATGCCGGTGAAGGCCATTCGAACAGTGCTGATCACAGAGCTTCTTCTGATACGGATGCTGTTGCCAAGGATGTAAATGTGGATGATTTAGTGGAACCCATCAGTTTGCCAGATGTCTCGGATGCCGGTGATAGTCATTCGAACAGTGCTGATCGCAAAGCCCGATTTGGTTTCGGTTGGGGCTATAGACCATGGGGTTATAGGCCTTGGGGATGGGGTGGCGGCTGGGGAGGTTATGGTGGATATGGAGGATATGGCTACGGATATGGATATCATCGACCTTTGGGTTATTTCTGGGGATAAATGTAGAACCCAGTAAAATAACAAATATAATATTTTTGTTAAAAATTGAGAAATGTGATTTTTTTAATGTGAATTTAATATTGCGAAGTAAGTATATAAGCAATATTTTGAAAAATGTGTTAAATTAAAATAAAAATGATTTTATTTGAAAGTTTTTTTCACTATTTTTTCTGTAAAATTTTCTTTTGTTTTCTATAAAAAAATATATATTAGTATTTTTATAGAAGCTTCAACGAACTTACAGAAGAGTTTAATTTATAATTATTTTATTTTCGTCGCTGGAGAAATATTCCCCATTTGTCAAGAAATTATATTGACTTATAAAACTGTGTTATTTCCATTTATGTTGTTCGATCTTTTGCTTCCTCACACATGTGTGGATAATGTAGTGCACTGTAATAAAAATCAATATTTTGTTTAGCATACCTTTAGGCGTAACCTTATCGATAACACTGTAGAGCAAAAGTTTGTATATTTCAAATAGCAAAGTTGAATATTAACTAAATATCAATAAGCGGAGCTGTAGAATCTACAACTATTATTTAACTATAATTTTCTGCGGAATCATATCCCGATCAGGGGCAAAATTTGATATTTGTATTCTCTAATATAATAATGACAATACTAAACAATATACGAATATGTAGACTCCTTTAAATATTTTAGTGCATCTCACGACCTCTTAAATTAATACAATTGATATCAGAATAAATGCCAACAGCTTCTTGAAAATATTACGGATATTGTCTTCCATGAGGGAACATATGCTCCAATTTTGTAATTTATCACTCATACATCATTAAACCCCCAAAATCTGAAAGCTTGTGATGTTAGAAGAAAACCCCTAGATGGATTTTTGATTAAATCCAGTGGTTTAATCTAGAACCACTTTTTTGTGACATATTTTCCTAAAAATTAAATGTTCGAAATGCCGAATTTTGGGAGTATTATTATATGTACGTTTTATGTAAAAATCTATTTATTTTATTGGATGTTTTATTGGAACAAAATAAAATTACCTTTTCTACAGGTTGTAGGGCTTTTTGGTCGTGAACCAAACTGTTGGCGGTTGTTTTTATAAAAACAAATATTTATTAGTGGGGGAAGTATGGCATTGTCCACCAAAGGGTAAGGAAGGGAAGATCAGTGGCGAGATCCGAAACTATAGTCTCCCCTGCCTTACACCTTGGTAGGTTTTTTTAAACCGAGAATGTGGGTTCGTATGAAATTGTGTACCATAGAGGCAATTTCTTCATAATAATTATATATATATATATATATATATAAACGCAAAATTTATTTTGAAATATAAATTATTCTGTAAGAAAATTTTGCTAATAATCGACAGCACACCTACGAGGCATTGCATTAATAAAATACTCAATTTGATCCTTGGGTATAATATTCCTCACATTCTGAACTTTTGGGAAGAGGTTATGCTGTTAGTTTGTGATTTTTTATACCCTTCACCACACTGTGGTATAGGGTATTATGTCTTTTTGCATATTTTTGTAACAGGCAAAAGGAAATGGGATAGACACATAGTTCGTTTTGAGAATATGCATAGAATCACTTTCAGAGTCGATTTATGCATGTCCGTCAGTCCGTTCGTCCGTTCGTCTGTCCGTCAGTAGATGTTAAATTGTAAACAAAGTACAGGTCGCATTTATGAGAGAAAATCGGTTCAGATTTAGATATAGCTCCCACGTATATTTTCGTCCGATTTAAGGTAAATGGGACACAAAATAAACATTCGTGTTTCCTGTTTTCTATATATCATATAGCGATATATACTTTCGCATTTTAGAGTACTGAATAGCTAGGCCGATTGACACAACGTACTGAAATTAATATAAATTAATATCTGGCAAGTTTCCTTTCGGCCCAGTTCGACTTTACTACTTTCCTTACTGGTTTTGTTTGATTTTGCTGTCTATGATACTCTAAAGATTTTTCCTAAAATCAACATTTCGAGAAATCACTGATTTGTTCATGGAATATTTCTCCAAAATCATTTTCATTGATAAATTATTTTCACAATCTCTGGTAATTAGCTATTTTATCGGAGTACTGTATTTATTTCTAGCCATTTTTATATTTTTTTTGGCAGTAAGTCAAAATTAAAAACCATACACATGTTATAGTAATAAAATCCATTGAAAAATGATCTATGTGATTCGAAATAAAACATAGTAATTATATCGGTAAAAATAACTAAAATTTAAGTGTTCATCTGTACTGTACCTTGAATCTTGACGTCTCTGTATACTTCTGGCAGTTATTGGTATAGATATATTTATATTTTTAAGGATATTAATATTTTGTACAAAAAATTTTCAGTCAATCAAATTTGAAAATATAAAATTATAGCCAATTCGGTTAAAAATCAAAAATCCTCTATATATATGGACAATTTGTGGGGTGTCTACATGTCAACTTAGCCCACCAGCGAACTTAGCCTGACTGCAAACAAGAAACGCTTGTGTACAAAATTTCATCACGGTATTTCAAATTTTTGGAAGATAGATAGATTATATCAGATTCAATTGATTACAAATTGAATAACAATATTAGAATACGCAGCATCCAATCGATGTGTGGCGATATTCATGTCAAAGTAAAAGAGATAATTGAGGATTATACACCTGATTCTTCTGCCGCTCAATAATGATGACATTTTTAAGTCTAATTTCTAGATTACATGTGAAATCAGAAATTGTACATGTATATTGTACATTTATAATACATACATATATAGTTTTATCAAAAAATTTCAGCAACATTTTTTTCTTATACATGAAAAAGAAAAGTCCATAACGTTTGCGCGCAACAAACAAATATTGAAATGAGATCGAGTTCGAAACCAAAAATTATTTTTAAACCAAAAATATTGGCATTTACACATACGAATATTTGAAAGAAGTAAAACAGATATTGCTTAGAAATTAAAATAGAGTGTTTTCGATTCGGATTGGCTCACCGTAACTTCAGTTGTTATTCTGTGTACACTCCCAATTCTAATGTTGTTAGCATAAACAACAATTCTCTCTGTCATATGATGTGATGATGCTCTTCCTTTCTTGCATCGCAATAACAAATAACAATTTAAGTAAACACACTTTTAGACCCGTTTCTACTCAGAATGAAGGGGATTTCCGAAATCAAATGCTTATTCATTTCGAAACCAATTACAATCTGAGTTCATTGTTGTTTTGTGGTGTTTACATTTTTCTGCACGTGTTAAGTTCATCTCTTACGATGCCGATTAAATCCAATGATGCATCAAACAAAATAAACCAAATCAAGAAAAATATATAAAAGCTATATTGACGAAATGTTATCTATACACTTCATTCGCAGTACTCCGTATACAAATATCTTGAAGGATTTAAATTATCAGCTTCAGAATGAAAATAACTTGGATATTTGGCTTTTTCGCAATCATTGCTGTTGTTGCAGCCGTGCCATTAGAAGGTGCTAAGGAAGAAATCGCAGCAGACAATGCTGGGAAAGCAATAAGCCTTTTGGATGTCGACGATGTCGGAGTGAATCACGAAAATACAGCAGATCGAAATGTTCGCCATGGTTGGGGAGGTTATGGTGGCTATGGAGGAGGTTGGGGTGGCTATGGCGGCTATGGAGGAGGATATGGTGGATATGGAGGAGGTTGGGGCGGTTATGGCGGTTATGGCGGATGGGGTGGTCATCATCACCATCATCATGGAGGTTATGGATGGGGTCGTTAATATTTTTGTTAAAGAACTATTAAAATATCCATTATATATACGAAAATAAAGTGGTGTTTTAGAAAAAAAATATTCATTTTTTGTTTCAATTTATCAATGAGTATCACCTTTAATTTTGATTGAACATCCATGAAAGAAGTTCAAATAATATTACGGAATCAAAATAAACTAAAAATGAAAGGAAACCAGTAAGGAAGGATCAAAAGTCGGACGGAGCCGACTATATGATACCCTTCACCACTTTGGGTACATACAAGATATGCTAATATATACAATAATTTGTAGATAGAACAAACATATCATCTTTGGAGGATCATTGAGATGGAATCGGGCGAAATAAAATGTGCGATCTCCATAGATATTTGAACCAATTAAAAAAATGTTCTACACATACATTCTGCAATCGATGAAAAATTGAATGTAAAACGGACAGACTTGGAGTCTGTGGTGTATTATTCGTATGAAATCGTGGTGTATTATTCGTATGTCTCAATCGGACAAATATTGGAAGTTTGGGGAATCATTCACATAAGATCGGCGAAACTATATATGAGAGCTATATCTAAATCTAAACCGATATTCTCCAATTTCAATGGGGCCAAATAAGTGGCTTGTGCCAAATTTTATCCAATTCGGATCATAAATGCGTCCTGTACTTTGTTTACAATTTAACATGGACAGACAGGCGGACATGCATAAATCGACTCAGAAAGTGATTCTATGCATATTCTCAAAAGGAACTAAAATACAAAAATATGCATAAAAACATAATACCCTATGCTACAGTGTGGTGAAGGGTATAAATACTAAATATAAGTGGACCAATATATCTCATTTACAATACTAACCATCCTAGGAGTGGTAGCAAAGTATATCTCTTACCACGCGATGTGTTGGCCATAAAGGCTGTAATTTGCATTTCCCTGTTCTTAATGGGACCCCCCCCCATTCTCGGGGTCAATTTTTTTTTCATTTAATTCGATTCTACACTAATTCAAGAATGTCTCTACAAAATTTTAAGTGAAAATCTCAAGAACTCTTGAAGATATAGCCGATTTATTGTGTCAGCATTAAGCGACGGCTAAAGGGCTTCTCAAACTTTAAACCCGTTTTTCTCTTTTGTGAATGGCGGGCACGATAACTCAAAACCTAATAACCCAATAGATTTAAAATTTTTACACGTTTCTCTGCGAGTGTATAGCTATCGTATGAACTAGGATAAAGCCAATCGGTGAAGATCTTCCTTATTTTTTAACTTGGTTTTTGGTCTAAATTCGGCGATTTTTCAAAAATATTTTTTCAAAGGTCCGCCATTTTGTTAATTTTAGAGCGATGTCAATAATCCTAGTTCATACCAGTGCCAGACATGTACTCTTTCTAACACAGTTGGAATTTTCGGATTCCGATGATCCAGTGAGGAGTTATCATGCCCGCCATCAAAAATAAGGACTTTTTTTAATTACAAAAAACAAAAACAAAGCATTAACAAAAATTTTTTGTAAATTATTTTTCTTCTTTTTTAAATCTTCAAATATATATGTGCAAAGTTACAAACCTTAACAAGCATTGGTATTGAATTCCCAGCCCATTGAAAATCTTGAAAAATTAAAATCGAGAATGGTTGGGGTTCCCTTAATGGATAAAAAACCCTTGGCAAAATTGTTCATTGTTGGTTGGTATAAAGTCTGACTTTATATAATGTAGTCCACTAAGTTTCTTCTTTCGGCACTAGATCTTAGTTCATATTGCTGACCATATATTTTTCGCTAGTCAATATAAGGGCCCGGCCCTTATTTATGTATATTTAACTTGAAGAATGAGTCCTATTTTCGTAAAATTTATTTATTTTATATCGGATTTCCTCCATTTAGCACTTGATCGTATTTCTTATTATTGATTGGTTTTACTTTCGTTGTCCTACCGGGACTTTAAGTCCGAGGGTTTATACGTCGCAAGGCCTGTTAATAAGGTCGTCTGTGAAGATCAGCAGCTTCTAAAGTTAGTTGCCATAATCAATTTTTAGGAACTGTCTTCGCATTATTAACTTTGAGAAATAACATTGGCTTTTCATTTTCTTATATTTACTAATAAGTTACTTACTTGCCACGTTATTAATGGGAGCTATATTTTTTACCAATTTGGTCATTCTTGGGCCAACAAATGAGTAAATTGCATGTTATGGAAATATGACCAAAATTAATTATTTTCTTAATAGTCGTTGGTAGGAATATAATTAATTTAATGCTCCGACATAGATCACCGCTTGTGGTAGGTACAATAGTCTTAATCCGGAATAATCAAGCAATGATCATCTAAATCAAATAACAATCCACATTCTATAAACACAATTGCTTTAAGACCTGTTTGTTATTGATAAATTTCTCCCCAAAATATTAGGCCTATCTCAATTTAATGTGCCTTACAATAGAGGTCAATCATTGCAATTTACACGTGCCGTTTTCAAAACAAAGACCTGTTACAACAAAAATTCGTATAAAAGCGCAGGTGTGCATTTGTTATCTATACATTCGACTTGCAGTAATTCAATTAACATCACATTGAGGAGGATTTTGATTATCAGCTGTTAAAGGAAAGTACACCCAATTCCAAAATGAATTTAACTTGGATTCTGGGACTATTTGCAATAATTGTTGCTGTTGGAGCTTATCCCTTGGAAGATGCCGAAAGAGAAACACCAGGAGACTATGCTGAGAGACGTGTAAATCTTTTAGATGTTGCCGATGTTGGTGGAAACCACGAAAATGCTGCTGATCGCAAAGTTCGTCACGGCTGGGGTGGATGGGGCGGTGGTTATGGCGGCTGGGGAGGTTATGGCGGTTGGGGAGGTTATGGCGGTTGGGGTGGTGGTTATGGCGGCTGGGGTGGTGGTTGGGGTGGCGGTTACGGTGGTTGGGGACGAGGATGGGGTCACCGTGGCTGGGGTTGGGGTGGCTAATGATTGATATGATAAATTTAAATCCATATCCATATAAATATGAAAATGAAATGGTGTTGTGTTTATAAAGTAAATAACTTGCATTGTAAAAGCTATTTAATGTGGTGTTCTATATATTTCAATTTTGTGTAAAATCGATCTGAATAATAAAAAAAAAACATTTTCTCAATTATGTGTGTTTAAATTTTTACTGGAGGCTGTTCGTTTATGCATATGCCCAATAAACGAGACTGAACTAAGTATTCACAATTCTTGCAAAGAAAATTTACTCAGTTAAGTTATTCGATTACTATCAGCTTAAATTTAATAATTTGGTTATCAAATTTTTTTGGAGATTTCTAGTAGAGTAATAGACATCACATTGCGAAATCAATCAACTAAACCCTACACTGCGTATCATAACTATAGACGCACCCTTAATTCAATTGGTATGTTAGTTGAGAAATAAAATGGACCCAATTAGTTATTGTTCACAATAAAACGATCAAAAACACATATTATTCAACAAAAATAATTAATTTATTCTTTATGATTTCGCCGAATTCTGCACTTTCAAAATTGCTGGTGTTGCATAACTATAGACGCACTTTTACAAAATTAGAAAAATTAATTTTTTAAAACTTAAATAAAATAAAATAACTTTTATAAATAATGGGTAGGGCCTCCCTTATTTTGAATAAGTTCAAAAATTTTATCCATCACACTGTTGATCAAAATTATTCGCAAGTCTTCATCGATTGACCGCCATTCATCGATAATCACTTCTTGGAAATAAAATAATGTTTGGTATTGGCGGTTTTCTGCATAGACACGACGAGTCAAGATTCCACACATGTTCTCGATCGGATTCTGGTCGGAAATTTTAATATTTTTTAATTTTAACCATACTTGAGTACGGCGACTTTTATGAACTGGTGCGTTGTCCTGCTAAAAAACGAGTCCTTGATTGTTGCTGCTTTCCCAAAATGGCAATAATTTGTCTTCCAAGACTTGAACGTTCTCCACTGATGTCATCCGACAACATGGAAATGTCAAATAAAGCATTCCGTGGCTATAAAATGCTCCCAAGGTGACGGTTACCTAAATATCGTATTTCTTAAGGGGACCCCCCATTCTCGGGGTCAAAATTTTTTTTGATTTAATTCGATTCTACACTAATACAAGAATGTCTCTACAAAATTTCAAGTGAAAATCTCAAGAACTCTTGAAGATTTAACCGATTTATTGTGTCAGCATCAAGTGACGGCTGAAGGGCTTCTCAAACTTTAAACGCGTTTTTCTCTTTTGCGAATGGCGGGCACGATAACTCAAAAACTAATAACCCAATCGATTTCAAATTTTTACACGTTTCTCTGTGAGTGTATAGCTATCGTATGAACTAGGATAAAGCCAATCGGTGAAGATCTTCCTTATTTTTTAACTTGGTTGTTGGTCAAAATTCGGCGATTTTTCAAAAATATTTTTTCAAAGGTCCGCCATTTTGTTAATTTTAGAGCGAAGTCAATAATCCTAGTTCATACGAGAGCCAAACATGTACTCTTTCTAACACCGTTGGAATTTTCGGATTCCGATGATCCAGTGAGGAGTTATCATGCCCGCCATCAAAAATAAGGACTTTTTTTTAATTACAAAAAACAACAACAAAACAATAACAAAATATTTTTGTAAATTATTTTTCTTCTTTTTTAAATCTTCAAATATATATGTGCAAAGATGCAAACCTTAACAATCATTGGTATTGATTTACCAGCCCATTGAAAATCTTGAAAAATTAAAATCGAGAATGGGTGGGGTTCCCTTAATACGATATTTCAGTGGCGGTTCCTTAATGGCCTTGGGAGCATTTTATAGCCACGGAATGCTTTATTTGACATTTCCATGTTGTCGCATGAATTCAATGGAGTACGTTCAAGTCTTGGAAGACAAATTATTGCCATTTTGGGAAAGCAGCAACAATCAAGGACTCGTTTTTTAGCAGGACAACGCACCAGTTCATAAAAGTCGCCGTACTCAAGTATGGTTAAAATCGAAAAATATTAAAATTTCCGACCAGGTGCGTCTATAGTTATGATACGCAGTGTATTATTCATGTTCCCGTACATAAAATCTGGTCAAACTTTTCAAATTTTGTAAAGGAAAAAAGAAAAGAAAAAACGAAAAAAATAACATTAATGGGAGATTTTGGAACACAAAGTCTTATTCAACTTGCATTATAGATTTTTCCTTGGGAGGACAATTCTCTCTGTCTGGCTGATGGTACGAACGATAACTCTCGAAGGGAGTAACCGATTTCAACCAAACTTTACACGTCGTATTATTCCTTAACTTCGAAGATGGGGGAAACAGTCCACTTCTTCTGGTACCTCTTTCATAAACTGGTCAACATATTGCTGAAAATTAATTTTAAAATTTAATCCGAACGGACTATCCGATTTGAACCAAACTTTGTACAAACTATTATCTTTAGCAACAGATCAAGTTTGAAGATTCTGATTCTCACTCATTCTGATACCTCCCCCTCAAATAGTAAAAATTTTCAATATTCATAAATCCAATATCAGGCGAATGGAATGTTCGATTTGAATCAAACATTGCACAACCTATTATCCCTACCAAGTCGAGATCAAAGTCTGGTACTTCACCAACAGAGGGTCAATATTCTATAAACTTGTAAATTTGATTCGAAGCGAATTGAATAACCGATTTGATCAACATTAAATCCGAGACCTCTTTGATAAAACATATACCTTATATTAAAAAAAATAATAAAACCTATGTGTAATACCGATGACCCCGGCAAATCATACGGTGAGGGTTTATACCCGTCGTCAACACCGACTGACTCTTTTTTTCGATTTTTAAATGTTTCTGATTCAGTTCCAGATTTTATAAAGAAATCCGAACAAAATGAGAAAAAATTCGTTTGAATTTTACTTTTATTCATATTAATATTTTGCCATTACGGCATCAACATTTTGGTACGGTACATAGACTGAACATCATCGTTGAGATAAGTGTGATCGCCCGTTTGACAATTATAAATTGTTGTCCAAATCGGAATTTTTGTTGTTGGAAGTCCCATTTATTATCACATTTAGCAGACCATAAAAAATCTTCGAACTATTGACGTAACAAACATGACTATAACTGTTATTTAGCACCATTCATATCAAATTTAATTAGCTTTTTATGCCTATTTTATGTGAAAGCATAAGTCATTAAAACAGGTACATATATATATATATATATATATATTCTTGATCAGCGTAAAATTCTATGACGATCTAAGCATGTCCACCTGTCTGTTATAATCACTCTAGCGTCTAAAAGAATTGAGATAGATCGTTAAATGGGCTATATCGGTAAACGTTTAGGCATAGCTCCCATATATGGGTACCCCCAATTTTCGGTAGTTTGGGGTTCTTCAGCGCGTTTTTCATCGAAATATGTATATATATATAATATGTATGGAGCTATCAGAGGAGAGAGCAGATGTTGGAACCAATCTTCCCTTCGGACTTGATCTAGACTGATAGGTTGTGCAAAGTTTGGTTCAAAACGGACATTTCATTCGCCTGATATTGTATTTATAAATATTGAAAATGTTGAACCTTTGTGGGAAAGGTGCAATGAAACATGGGGTCTAGAACCAATACAGTCGAACTCGGTTAAGCGAAAAAACCTAATTTCAGAAAATGTTTTTCTTTTAAGCAGGATTTTCAATTGAAAGAACTTCGGGTAAGCGAAACTCGTTGCGTCTTAACGAAGTTTTCAATCAATATCTGAAAAAAAGAAATTTATAAATCTATATATATATAACCAGTGAGCGGAGCAGTATAGTCGGACGGGGCCGGCCATATTATACCCTGCACACCTACCACGAAAAGCAAACTTTCTGCGGTTCTATATTCTGAGCCTGGGCAATATTTCGGAACTTCATGTACAATTTCAAAGCGATCAGCGCGACATTTCCGTCCTCTAATTACGGATAACTCCCACATCAGAGTACATACAGCCATATAATTGGTATTAATTTGAAGGTCAACAACTCCTCTTGGATATACTATCAACTTTTCGGGTATATGTCCTTCAGGAGCAAGTATATATGCCCCAGAATAAAGATTTTGTAATTTTTCACACAAAAGTCAGGGTCCATTTGACCCGCTAAATATTGACCGATCTTTATCAAAACAGGCATGCTTATTCTTTGGTCCGAGCCCCTTCTCCATGCAAAAATTCGGTGTGTTTGGACCATAATTGCGGCCTCTGGAGCGACCTGAAAAGCCGACAAAATAAAGTTTTTGGTCCATTTCATCCCCTAAATATTAATCTATCTTTTCCAAAAACAATAGGGTCCTTCATTGGCTAGAACACATCCTACATGCAAAATTTCGTGAAGATTGGTTCATAACTGTGGCCTGTATCGTGTTTATAAATTATAATGGACAGACGGACGGACACACATGTCTAGATCGACTCAGCTAGTCGAGATATGACGATTGGTATACGTAAAGGTGGGTTTAGAACCAATATTTCGCGGCGTTACAAACTTTTGGGGCTGCACAAAGCTATAATACCCTGACAACATAGTTGTGTAGGGTATAATGAATTTGGTAAGAACTTCTTTTTTTCGTAGATATTTGCGTGGATGGTGGGAAATATGTGCAACATAATTTTAGGGTTGTAGATAAAAATTGTAATGAATTTCGCCGCCCTTTTAAAAATGATATTTATACCCTTCACCACAGTGTGGTACAGGGTATTATGTCTTTGTGCATATGTTTGTAACAGGCAAAAATAATCCAGATAGACCCATGGTTCCTTTTGAGAATATGCGTAGAATCACTTTCTGAGTCGATTTATGCATGCCCATCTGTCCGTCCGTCTGTCTGTCCGTCCATGTATTTTTGTTAACAAAATACAGGTCGCATTTATGATCCGATTTGGATGAAATTTGACACAGGTCACTTAATTGGCCCAAGGACGAACCCTATTGAAAATGGAATGAATGAACGAATGAAAAATCGGTTCAGATTTAGATATAGCTCCCATATATATTTTTGTCCGATTTAAGGTAAATGGAGTACCAAAGCCCCTATATATCTTTCGATTTGCACGAAATTTGAAATTAATAAAAATCTAGCAAGTTTCCTTGAAATCGGTTCAGATTAGCTTCCATATATAATTTCGACCTATTCATGTTGACTGTACACCAAATCTACTTACAAAATTTATAATAGGTTGCAGAATGGCGTGTGTTGGAATTGATGTTAGTCGGTTTACTTATAGATCGCATATTTAAGTTCGTTCAATTTCATGTCAATGTTTTTTTTAGAAAAGGCGACGTCTGTTAGGATACATATTCTACATATGTATCCCCAGTGGTAAAGGGTATCATATAGTCGTCCCAGTCCGACTTTACTACTTTCCTTACTGGTTTTATCTTAAGCGGTGCTCGTTTCATATAAATTTGTGTTCTTGTAACAAAAAGTCTTTCTCTTAACAGATTTTCAGTTAACCGGGTTTTCTTTTAAGCGAAGTAAAGTGTTTGAAAATTCACCCAAAATATTAGTTTAAATTTTTTAGTTCAATTAACAGATTTTTTCGATTAACCGGCGTTTTCATTTCAAGTAGCAGTAAGTATACCTATGGTAGAGGGTATCTAAAGTTCGGCCCGGCCGAACTTAACGCTTTTTCACTTGTTTTTTGATATCAATTATAACGACATATCGCTTAAGACCAATTTCATCGGTACCTTGTCCGTCGTTATAAGCGATTTCGACTGTAGTCACAGTAATGAACTTCGTATCGAGATTCAATACTTAGTTTTGTTATAAAAATATAATACATCAGAAATGTACGCTTGCTATCGAGGACACATATTCAAGCCTACACATAACTTATGTTATTTTACCAGTCCATTAAAAATCGTCGAAGATTATTTCTAACACATCACATATGTATCCATACTGACGTAACAAAATGGCTAATAAAATTGTTGACAGACTTCTCACCAACATTTATTACAGTTTTATGACTATTTTATATGGCAACATAGATCATAAAACAAGGGGCTCGTTACCGTTCGTATCAGTCTCCAAATAGTATTTGATTCATAGCTGCAATTGTTATGTTCACTAGAAGTGTTAGAACATATCATTTACATACATATCATATCTTAATTTTGTATTCCGTCTTCATGCATTCATTCATTGTATCTCAATTAATCCTAAATTGTTGTGGAATCACATTAAATGCGAAATAAATTTGTCTAAACGCTACACGCCCACCGTATTTAAAAATAACTATTCTCTATTAGAATTCAAACATCAGTAAGCAAATCATTATATTTCGGATGGGGTCGACCATGCTAAACCCTACACAACCACCACTGGATTAAACACTGAATTTTACAATTGTCCCATATTAAATAAACTTAATATGCCCCTAGCTTCTAAAAATGCTTTATTCTTAGTAAAGTCCTTCAGTCTTTCATTCACAACTCATAGGTCTGTTTCGTGAATAGTGTCATTACCCAAGAATTGGGTTAGAAGGTTTGCCAAATTAAATGTTCCAACGTTTCGCTCTCTTATGTAAATGTACCTACAGGCTGAGATGTCATGTAAGAATATTATTATTCTAGTATTTTTCTTTATTGTTAATCATTAAGATTTGCTTTGTCTTATCCTAATTTGGGTTTCCCCATATCTTTTTTCCAGTCCCCTCCTTATTCCAATGACTTTAATTCTAGATGCACTGCGCTAAAATGATTACAAGTACAAGTAATAATGTTGATAAAAAAACTGTGGGTTCCCTACAATCATTTAATATCCTCACAACATAGTTGCATGGAGCATAAAAATATTAACAAAAGTTATTTTTAGATATTTGACAAAATTCACCGAGTTCCTAAAAATTTCCCATCCTGAATCATCTTAATTATTTTGTTTGTATTTTACCCTAATATCTGCCTGGAATTGATATGAATATGAAATGACCAATGCAGATAGCCACTTCCAGACTTTGTTTGTGTTTTTATTTTGTAATAAAATGTTTATCTGGCTCGGTGCCGTTTAATTCTTGTGGGCAAGAAAACAATTTAGTTGTACGAAGTATGAATTTGAATTAAGTGGGGGAGTTTTTGCGCTTGGGTTATATTCAGTGTTTTTATTTTATTTGCGTGGTTAGATCACAAAGTGATTTAACTGGGCTTATCGGAGAGTTAATCGAGTGCCATTCATAAGTTCTGTTTCTTTTTTGTTAACCCAAGATTATATAAATAACTGACATCCTGTTAATTCAATTCAGTTTCAGAAAGGAATTCAGAGTGAAATACGTTGATCGGAAATATACTGAGGCAACTAAACGAAATGCGGATTTTATTTTTTGGTTTACTTTTTACCCTATTCGCGGGTATAATAACGGCTGTTGAAGATACTTCGGATAATCATGATGTGTCAGAGGAAATTATGATGACTACTATGACACCAATAGTAGATTCATTTGAGTCGTTGATGATAGAGGATACCACAGATGTTCCATTGGAAATTATGAAGAAGGATACCGCAGATCCTGCAGATACTCCATTGGAGGAGATGATTATAGAGGATACTAAATCTACTGATTTTATGGATATCGCGGATATTGGGGATAGCCATTCCAATGATGGTGCACGGAAGGCTCGTGGTGGTTATGGTGGTGGCTATGGAGGCGGTTATGGCGGAGGCTTTGGTGGTGGTTATGGTGCCGGCTTTGGATTCCACGCAGGCGTAGGTTATGGCGGAGGTTATAGAGGTTGGAATAACAGAGGATATGGAGGCGGTTGGAGAAACAGAGGATGGGGAGGTGGTTATGGTAGACGTGGATATGGTTATGGAGGATATGGTCGTGGTCATTATCATCATGATCACTGGTATTAATATTAAATATATTTTATATGATAATGAAATGTGTGTTTGTTTGACTCAATTTTGGAAAAAAATAATTTTGAATGGATGTAATTTAATATTTAAGTTTTGAATAATTGATTATATGTCAAATGAAAAACAAATAATAACTATTTATAATAATCATGAAGAAATGCCTTTTAGTCCATTTTCACAATTACCGTTTCTTTTGTGGAATCATTGTGGAAGAAGTAAAAATGAAATGATCGGCCGTGAACCACACTGTATACCTTTCATCACGTCGATTTCATATAAAAATTTATGATTTTGAAGAAAAATCTTTGGCGTAAACTGAGTTAAATATTATAGTTGGATCATGTAAATTTGAAAAGACGTCACTGTGTGAAATTAACGAAAAAACAAATTTGAGGGTCAATAACTTAAAAAGTAACTTCATTTTGTTACTCCATTTGTAAAACTTTCGAATACAAGAAAAATGTTCCTCTGCTGTAGACATATTATACAAGAGAATGTTTGGTTTCAAATTTTGTGTAACAGTCTGATTTTAGGAATATTTTATATTTTCCTCAAGTTGATCTGTTATTTGGCTTTCCGAATAACTTGAATAGCTTCTTAACAACAATGTATTAATTTTGTTTCAGTCTGATTGTTAGTCAGCTTAATAAAATTATGAAATACTTTATCTATAGCATACATTCAGGCGTCATATTGTATAACAGTTAATGCATAATGATCATTAGAAATATTGAAGAACTTATTATAACAGTAAAATTGAGCTATAAATAAAGTCTGCTTCAAGCGCCACCATTCTCGGTTTCAAAAAATTGAATTTTCTATTTTTATTTAATTTTGTAGGGTTTTGTAGTGTTTACAGTTAAAGAAAATTCCTTCTTTTCGGCGGCAGGCATAATTTCCGACCACTGCACTATGGGCCCAATGGAAGATTTTTGAGTCCTCACATCACAAGCAGCTAGGGCTTTCAAATTTTGTTATAGCACGCATAAAAGCACACATGCAAATTTGAGAGGAATCGGTTCCGATGTAGCTTTCGTATATCGATTGGGTAAATACCCGGTAAATTGGGTAAATATACATTTGTGGGTATTTATATTGAATCTTGGGTAAATACCCAATTATTTACCCCAATATTGGGTAAAAACTCATTAACTAGCGAATTACTCGACATATACGGTCAACAATTGGTTCACATTTTTATATCCTTCACCACACTGTGGTACAGGGTATTATGTCTTTGTGCATCTGTTTGTAACAGGCAAAAGGAAACGAGATAGACACCTTTTTCCTTTTGAGAATATGCAATTCACTATCTGAGTCGATTTATACATATCCGTCCGCCCGTCTGTCCATGTTAAATTGTAAACAAAGTACAGGTCGCATTAATGATCCGAATCGGATGAAATTTGGCACAGCTCATTTATTCAGCCCAAGGATGAACCTTGTTGAAATCGGTTCAGATTTAGATATAGTACCATATATATATTTTCGTTCGATTTAATGTAAATTGTGCATCAAAATATTTATATATCTTTCGTTTTGCCCGAAATTTGACATAGCGCACTGAACTGCAATGTACCGAATTTTGCGTGTCAAGATTTGTTAAAATCGGTTTAGATCTACATATAGCTCCCACAAAAGTTTTTTTTATCCGATTAACATAGCATGTTGGTTTGATGTTAGTCGGTTCACATGTAGATAAAGATCATATATTTAAGTTCGTTCAATTTTATGTTAATGTTCTTTCGAAAATGAGACGTCTGTTAGGATGCATATGACGAATATACCCAAAGTGGTGAAAGGTATCATATATGCTCCGTCCGTCTTTACTACATTCCTTACTGGTTTCGTCTGAGTTCATGCAAATTATGCATCGATTGAGATTTAATTTTGGAGAGGCCACTGTGGTGCAGCATACCCAATGGTGTATGATACGTTTGTTAAAATCGGGCCAGATTTTAATATCGCTCCCATATATAATTTTGCTCGATTCAGGAACGTAAGCAGGGGGGCACCACCAAAAATTTTTTATATAAATAAATTTGCCATACCACATTAAATATACCAAACCACATTAACAGTGTAAAGAAGAGCATAAATTGTACATAAAATATTAAAAATCCTTTAATATTTTGATTCTTACATGTGCAAAAGTGTTCGAATCAAGTTGTTTTTCATTTTAATTATACCCGTCCCGGCCCTCGGGTTTCTTGTTTCGAATATGCAGATTTAGAGAAAGGTGTTATTTGTAAATTTTTAATTATACCCGGCCCGGCCCAGGGTTTCTCGTATCTCATATTCAGATTTAGCAAAAGGTACTTTTTGTAAACTTTAATTATACCCGTCCGGCCCCAAGGTTTCTTGTATCGTATATTTTACCCGTCCCCGGGTTTCTTGTATCGCATATTCAGATTTAGTAAAAGGCGATTTTTGTAAGGTCGGCATCTTATTTTAAATAAAGGAGGTTGCGGAAGAAACAACCACCAAGTCCCAGAATTACCTCTGTCACATTTTACAAATTAGAGAGTTGCTCTTGAATTCTTCACCGACCACGACAAAAAGGAATACCACAAAGATGCGATAATGAGGACTCAGGACTTTATATCGAAAATGAAAGATGTTTCAAAACGTATAGAACATTTTACGGGCAAACAAGTTTCAGATATATTGAAAAAAAAACAAAAGTATAATGTTAAAGTGGTCATTGAGACAATTTTATTGTGTGAAAGGAAAGACATCGCCTTGAGGGAAAGTAAAGTAAAATACTGTCGTTAGACGTAAACTTAGAAAATGTTTAGAGAATACACCCAAAAATGCAACATACCTCAGTCCCAGAACAGAGAACGAGTTAATAAAACTAATGGGAGAATACATCCAGAAGTCTATTGTAGAAGAAGTGGAAAGTGCTGTATTCTTTTCGGTTTTAGCGAATTAAGGGGATCCCCCCAGTCTTGGTGTCAAATTTTTTTTTTTGATTTAATTCGAATCTACTCTAATTCTAGAATGTCCCTACAAAATTTCCAGTGAAAATCTCAAGAACTTTTGAAGATATAGCGAATTTATTGTGTCAGCATCAAGTGAAGGCAAGAGTGATTCTCAAACTTTAAACGTATTTTTCTCGAAGCAGTGTTTTACGAATGGCGGGCACTATAACTCAAAAACTAATAATTCAATCGGTTCCAAATTTTGACAAGTTTCTCTGGGAGTGTATAGCTCACGTATGGACTAGGATAAAGCCAATCGGTGAAGATCTTCCTTATTTTTTAACTGACTTTGTGGTCAAAAATAGTCGATTTTCCAAAAAAAAAAAAAAAAAATTCAAGATTCCGCCATTTTGGTAATTGTTGTGCGAAGTCAATAATCCTAGTTTATACGATAGCCAGACATGTACTCTTTTTAACACCGATGGAATTTTCGGATTCCGATGTTTTGATGTCATCCATCAAAAATAAGGACGTTTCTCTGATCACAAAAAACAACAATAAAACAGTTTTTATACCCTTCACCATAGCCATGTCCGTCCGTCTGTTGTAATCACGCTATCTTCTGAAGGAATTGAGATAGGGTGCTAAAATTTTGCATAGGTTTGTCTTTTGTCTGCAGGCAGGTCAAGTTCGAATATGGGATATATCGGTCCACGTTTAGGCATAGATCCCATATAACAGAACCTCCCAATTTTCGGTGTTTTGGGGTTCTTGAACGCGTTTTTCAACCGAATACGCTGAAATTTGGTACATTGATTTCTTATTGGGTACTAAATGTCTCCACAAAAAATTATAAATATGGGGGGTTCTTGAGCTCGTTTTTCAATCAAATTCACTGCAATGTGGTATTTTGTGGTCGTATATGGTAGCAAATCTCCCTACCAAAAATTTTTAATATTCGCAAACCTTTTTGGGGTTGTCTCCATATAACCCCCTTTTTATACCCTCCACCATAGTATGGAGGGTATATTAATTTTGTTTTTCCCTTTACACACATCGAAATAATTATTTTCGGCCCTATAAAGTATATATATTCTTGATCAGCGTAAAATTCTATGACGATGTAACCGTGTCCGTCTGTCTGTTGTAATCACTCTAGCGTCTAAGCGAATGGACATAGATCGCCAAAATTTTGCATAGAGTCGTCTTTTGTCTGCGGGAAGGTCAAGTTCGAACATGGGCTTTATCGGTCCACGTTTAGGCATAGCTCCCATGTAAGGGTACCCCCAAATTTTCGGTATTTTGGGGTTCTTGAGCGCGGTTTTCAACCGAATTCGCTGAAATTTGCTACATTGGTTTCTTATTGGATACTTAATATCTCCACAAAAAATTATAAATATAGGTCCACTCTTTCTGGTAGCCCCCATATAACGGTACCTCCTAATTCGCAGTATTTTGGGGGGTTTTGCTCGTATTTTTCCGCCGAATTAGCTGTAATTTAGTATTTTGAGTTCTTAATAGGTACAAAATCTCTCCACAAAAAATTATAAATATAGGCCCAATTTTCGGTATTTTGGGGTTCTTGAGCACGTTTTTCAACCGAATTCGCTGCAATTTGGTATTTTGTAGTCGTATATGGTAACAAATCTCCCTACCAAAAATTTATTAATATTCGCCCTCTTTTTGGAGTAGTCCCCATATAACCCCCTTTTTATATTAAAATAGTTATCTAATTTCTTCCGCGATTTGAATTTGGTTCTAAGACTCTGTTGTAATCATTTCACCTGCGGAGGATAGCGAGATTAAAAATTAGAACGTAAGGTTTGATAATGAACTATAACAGCATTTAGATCTAGCCCCTGTGTGGAGTTTCCAGAAGGATTGAACCGATATTCCCCATCTTAGAATTTGAACTAAGTTTGGAAGAAATAATAAGATGGGCAAATGAATAGATGGATGAAATCTAAATTTTCTGAAACGGATTTTGTCCAAAGAAACATGGGGTCTAGAACCAATATTTCTAAAAGGCACATTTTCACCGTGTTAATGTGTGTACACCCTCATTAGCCATAA